TTCAATCATTTATTTCTCATGCAAATAACTACTGATTGCGTTTTTTGCCCAATAAATTAATGGAAAACTAATTTATGAAAAATTTGCATTATTTAAACTTCTCGTGCTTTCCGGAAAATAATATAAATCCAAAACAATATTTGAAATGTTGTCTGCATAGTAATGAAGGTTTCTGGATGGAATTTTGGTTGAAGTGTGATTTCTAAAACACCACTGCAACATCAATTACTAAAGTATCTGGGCTGAAGCTCGTCTTTAAGTTCTTGTCTGTTACAGTAGAAAAAATTATTAATTATTTTTGTTAAAATGCTTGTTAAGTCAAGGAGAAATATATATTTGCTGCCATTTCGAATGTTGCGAATTACCATGGAGATTTATACTGATTTGATATGAATGTTATGTTTACAAAATCTGAAATTCACATGAAATTAAAAGCAGCTTCTAAATTTGCAAAAAGAAGTCGAAGCATTTAAAAAGTGAAATTGAAGTTTTAATAAACAGTCAAAGTACCACAAGTTTTAATGCAGATTTATTTGAAATAAACTGATTTAATTATATGAGTAATAAGTGAGAAACTAGAAGTAACAACTTCAAGAACAGAGTAAATTTGAGTACACAGCTTAACAAAATATAAAATGATTAGTCAGATATGAGATTCGGATTTTAAAAAAGTTTTTGATATAATTTTGCAACAAAAACAGTAAGCAAGTGATGAATAATAAATTGTATGCTTAGGTAAAGGAAGCAGAAGCCGATTTTTTGAAAATGAAAAGGGTGGAAGAGCAGTTGTGAGATGGTGCAAACATTTACAGAAATGCTTTTACATATGCAAATTGGAAACAACACCTCAACGCAAATATCGCAAATTATTGGCAATTTATGCAAAAAAAGGAAACAGAATTAAACATATGCGAAATAATTCTTCTTACTTTATACCTTTCTTATGAATGAACTAATTTGGAAATAAAAGCATACTTTCACTTGTTACTACCATCATAAAAAATAGAAAAAGCTTGCAACTTCAAAACATTTGGCCAAAAGATAGTCCTGAATGTTGATAAAAATCTTTGGCAAAAATTCGTCAACATAGCATGATAAAACTTTTCACGACATGTTGTACTAAGTCTTATTTCGAATGAATAAATAATTAGGAAAAAATCAAAAGAATTTTTAGTGTCAATTTCAAGACAAAGTATGAAAAAAATTAACGATACTTATGCTTTTGTTCAAACTCTCTATTTATTACAATATCGCGAAATTCGTTCAAATCTCACTTTTGACGAAAATATACTTTTTTAGAAACGCGACAAATTATTATATCACGCATCGCATTTTGCTTTGCAGTCATTAACACTGCTAGTTTAAATTTCTAGTTTTTGCTTCCTAACATAATTAGTTTCTGATTATCACAACTGTTTCCACAGTTGCATTTATTCTGACTTGTAATTGTCAGTCTGAAAAGTAAAGGAACAAAAATTTGTGAATGTGAAAACAATTGAGAAATCATTCATTGTGAATTTTAAATGCTGTAAAATGACATATTGTTAAGCCAGAAAATCACTATCTTTGTTCTCTGATAAGACTGATTGCTAACAATTTACTTTGTCACAGCTTACTAGCAGTAAGGCTGTGGAATTACAATTACTTCAAGTATATCTTACATTTTTTACTTGTTATTTGCTTTACTTATTTAATCACTTGTCTTTACAGTATTATTATTCATTTTATTTTCCAAGTACCATATTTCTGCTCATTAAAAAACATTGCACATTATTGCTCGCAATAATCACAAGATCATATATGAACGAGAAATAGTACTTAAATATAAATTAGGTTTAACATTAAAATTATAGTTTATTTTTTGTTGAAAACTTAAGTGACTAAAATTTTGGCTAAAAAAAGGCAAAAATATTTCAAAAAAATAATCTTTCAAAGTTAGAGATAAATACTACAAATGTATTGCAAGCAGAAGTACAATATACAATTTAAGGTTTCATTACCTTACAGAAAATAATTACTTGACTAAAATGATTTCAGAGTACATGAATTCCAAAGTTTTTGAAATGAATGCATCACTGAAACTCAATATTTTAATTAAATGTTTTTTGGCTGTTATGAATATGATCTCGTGTTCTTCAATACTAACAAATCATTTCCAACCGTCTTTGCTTCGTTTTTTGACTATACATTAAATGCCATTTGAAGACAAAATAATCTTACTTACTTGGTAACAATGCTTGAAAGTCAAGCTAAAGTGGACAGTTATTTTAGAAATTACGAGTCCAGAGAATTATAAAGTTGTAACCTACTACTGCAATGATGTAGGTGTAATGAAAGCTGAAAGTACCTGAACCCAACTGCAGCGAATTGAGGAGAAATAGCCAAAAAATCTACTCTCCACTTATATACCTTGAAATTCAAGCCTCAAAAAATTTGTTTACTGATAGTTTTATCCCGACGTAAAGGTCATTTTAATTTTTTTGCACTTATTTTTAACGCTTCTTTTTTGAATAATATAAACAAAAGTTTTTTATAATAAATTTTTGATAACTTTTTTCAAGAATTGTAATCAAAGATAGTTGACAGCTTATATAAATCATTTTTAGTGGAGGATAACACTTTATATATCTTTCCTTAGCATTATTTAGAAATATGAAAATTTCTAATGCTATGTCGAGAGTAAAACATTTTGCTTCATGCAGCACAATTTCTTAGCATTGACGTTATTGACAAACGTGGAATTACTTCCAAAACTACTTCTGTATTTGTGATCAGTGACATAAATATCATTCATAACTGCTGTTGTTCAAAAGCGGTATTTATGCAGTAGCTAATTTCATTTTTGAACGTAATAATCAATTAATGGGCTTTAATTTTATGATATTGTCGAGTATGAATTTAATCTGTTTTATCGAAATACTTTTATGAAAGGTCATTGAAGTATGAGTGAATTGCAAAAGGATAATGTTATAATATCCTAAAGCTATTTAGACAATTAAGCACATTGGGCATAAATTCTCTAAACAGCTTGCATTTTATGCATTAATCTCAATTAATGCTTTCTGTGAACTACTCAAAATAACTTTTCAGTATTCTGTAGCAAAATTTTTTTGCCTTAAAATTAATTAGTAGCATTGCAGTGAATCAGAAAATAACTTCTCTCGAGCAGTCATAAAAAATTATCCATTGTCATGTACCGGAAGGCCAAATATGAGTCAAAAATCTTTTGGTAGAAAAACATTTTACTCAAAAAATAGCTGCAATTCTCCAAGGATGTAATCACAAACCAATAAATTTAATACTTTGCAAACCCAGTCCTTCGTTTTGCTTTACAAGTCAATTTGTTTTCGCATCAAATGTGCAGTGAGAGTTACTTTTAGTTCCATTCAGCTTTTGGAAAAAAGATCTGATCTCAGTTTGATAGATAAAAATAATCCAAAATAAGCTTTCTTCCATTTATTTGTATTTTTATGTATGACAAGCATTTATAGCCAGCCACAACGACAAAAATTACCCTAAATATTGCATAGAATGCAAAAAAAAGGCAAAGAAATCCCTATACTTTTTAAATTAAGGCAGAATTCACACTTATTACTACCAATTTGTGTTCTTACAAAGATTTTTGACCTTCTGTCGTCCAGTGAGTCCGTACGAATTTTTTTACAGAATCTTATTGAATGGGCGATATTTGATTTGAAATTGCATATATAAACTTTAAATGAGAATATTTTTTCAAATCCTTTCAACCAGACAATATTTACACTTGTGTTTATTAATAAATTATTAATGTCTCTGTTTTATCACATGCATACAACTTTGAATTATTCCAATTCATATCGATGGAACATTTTTGGTGCAAAAGGAAAGATTCACATTGCTTGAAGTCAAAAGTTCATCTGCTTAATCATTTCATGAAGTGCAAGAAAGAAATGTTCACAAGCTTCAACCTGCTTTCAATTTATTTATTTTTGTCTGTAATTAATTATGACAGCAGTATTTATTTCAAATTTTGGAAATCATATCAACTTTACATTTACTTGCTTGAATCAAACACCTCAAAAACGATCCCAGTACTGAAATTTCGAATTCCCTTATCTTATAGTGAGATATTCTTCCGTTGCTGAAATTACAGTGCTTAAAACATGCAATCATTAGTGTTTTTTGCTTTGAAATGCTAATATTTATTTTTCTTTAGCTTATCTATGAATACAGCCAAAAATTTAATTCTTTTTTTTAATTTCAATAAACGTAGCTTGGGAAGTTTAACACTTCAAATCTTCCTCACGAGATTCTCCCCTCAGAATCTGCACCTTAGAACTTTTCATCAGCTAAAATGTAATATAGACCGAAAATGTTTCAAATACTGTTCTAGCAGCATTGCATTAGACATGTAAATATATGCCTAAAATATGGTAAATTCTTTCTACTTGCTTATTAAAAGAATTGTGATTGTGAATAAAGTTATTTTTTATATGTGAAGTTTGAAAATCGGTTGGCATCTGAAGTTTGTTAAATCTTTTTTTACTGCTGGGCAATATTCATAAGTAAATGGAACCATCTATTTGTGAAGCAGGATCTGGTGAGCTACATCCAAATACACCGAGTCTGATCTGTGCAGAAGAAATCACTCTTCCAAAGTTCATTATATATTTCTGCAACTAAATTGAGCTTGTTGTTTGCAAATAAAATGAAACTAACTTTAGGAAAAATGAATCAAATTTATAGACGAAACAATTGAAATTATTAGTGAAATTATTTTAGTTCAGATTGCACTAACGAATTGTCTTTTTAGTGTTGCTTTTTATTTAATTAAATTACATTTTTTGAACTTTTCAAGAGTAATTCAGTGAGTTGTTCTTAAATTATTAAAATTTTTATAATAAGAATTTTTGCAAAATTAACTAATAGTGAACATTTATTGAAAATTTTGACTCTGCAGTAAATACGGAAAAATACAGCGTCTCACGCCTGTAGTACGATTACATGCTGAGGGTTGCTTAATGAAGCTTGATCAAAAAGTGCGCAATCGATGGCTTATTAAAGTAATATTTTCGTCCCACAGCCTGCTGAATCTGAATAAGAATCTTTTTATAAGTTCTGAAATTATTGAGAATTTCTAATAAAGATTTTTTCCACCGTAATTACTGGAAGAGGCATAAAATAACAAAATCGAAACTTAAAACGATAATTTTTTTGCCAACTTTTTTCACCAGAAAAAAAATGCACTCTAGTAGGATTGAAAGTGAATCACATTAACATATAAATGTAAATTGTTTAAAACTTCTGCTTACTTGCAATATAAAGTAAACAAATGTAAATTTGTAGAAGATATTCAAGTGTTTAAGGGAATAATAGGAAGCGGAGGATATGGAGAAATATACTATGCGCTGGATCTGAAGATGAACAATGAGTCAGTAGCTGTAAAAGTTGAACCCGCAATTAGGAAAGGGAAAGTAGCCAAAAGGATGATTTTAGAACAAAAAGTATGCTTACAGATAGTCTGTAAGTTTTACATTGCATGTCAAAACTAAGAAAGTTGTTTCTAGTAAACTTTTAATACCATAATAATCAATACGTGAAGTAATCCTCCTGGTCATTACGTAAATTCACTTTTCATTGCAAAAGTTGCAATGAAAAAAATTCATAACCTTTATGATATTCCATTTATAGTTACTTCTTCGCCTACAAGGTCAGCCACATGCTCCATTAATGTGGGGGTCAGGAACAGAGCATGGTTTGAACTATATCGTTATGCAATTGCTATCAACAAATGTAGCGGATCTAAAAAAACAGTGTCCAGTACACCGCTTATCTCGACCTACTGCTGGACGTATTATGCAACAGGTCATCTGCCTCGACATTTATGAATTTTTTATCGTTTAGCTTATGAGTAATGCTGCAATACGGCTATAAGAATATTTTGTCGTTTTCATCAATGCTTGCAAATGTCATCTTTGCATATTGCAGTATTCAAAATGCATATTACTTAAAGAAAGAGTAAATGCATTTGAGTACAAAACAGAAATAAGATTCAATGAAAAGTAAAAATATTCGTCTAGTTGAATTGTAAAAATAAATGAGATTAAAGGCAATAGCTGGCCTCCGTGGCATTCACAAAGTGGGATACATTCATAGAGACGTAAAACCTGCAAATATGTGCTTTGGCCTCACTGAAAAAGTATCAAATAATTTTTTCATACAACGCCGTTATTACAGTAATATTGTAGTAATATTAAAGAGAGTATTTATCTTAAAAAACAGCCAATCCGCAAAATTATGATATTTCGATTTTGTAAAAAGAGAGCATTACTTTACAACCTTAACATTTTCGATCATATCAAGTGTTTACTGATCGATATTTTATTCAGATTCACGCAAATTTACGTCAGAAGTTTCACATGTGCTAATTTTCAGAGCTATCGACGACTAATAATAGTAGATTATGGTTTAGCACGAAGATTTCGATTAGCAAATGGAAAGCCAATTGAGCGGAGAGTACGAGCGGGTTTTCGAGGCACCTTACGATATGTATCAATACGGGTACACGATCGACAGGAGCAAGGACCTTCTGATGATCTAGTCGCTTTGTTCTTTACGCTAATTGAAATTGTGCAAGGGGAATTACCTTGGAGATATGAGAAAAGTGATAGAAAAATGAAAATTGCTAAAATGGAGCTGGTAGGTAGGGTCAAACGACGTTTGATCACTTCTGAATGCACAAAACCTGATCAAAAACTTGCAAAGTTCAGATCAAAGACGATTTTGTAAAAATATCCAAAAATGCTGGATATAGTATGCGAGAATATGGGCGGGCTGTAATGACATTGGCTGTAGATGATGAACCCAATTATGAATTCTTAATTTCAACTATGAAGGTTATACCTTTATATGTTTTGAAGCAAACTTTTATTAATTGACAAATCAAAGATTAATGATACTGTAAGCTATCTAAAACTAGTTCTATAAATATGCTCTCATTTATTTATACAGAAAAGCAAATGTTCTAACCACTAAAACAAACTCATCTACTTACAATACTTAATGTAAAACTTTTAGCGTTTCGTTAAAAGTTAAAATCCTGGCAGAGCAAAAATAATTGACTAATATTCATATACTTTGCATAAAAGAAACAATATTTAATGATAGAATGCAAAAGGTTAAATTGATATTACCAAAACATCTCATTCATAGAGTAGACGAGAATGGTTCAATTCCGATGAAATTGACATTTTCTTGGACTACATGTTTGGTAACTATTCCAGAATTTGGCTCATAATCGACCACTAAACGATCCTTATGACTGGGAAAACGATTATTTGGAAGTAATGCAAGAATAATTATAATAATAATAGTAATATTTATTTAATAATGTTAATTTGTTCTTGCCGTTTGCATTCATCACTATTCATTAGCAACAAATGTTTGCTTTTTTCCATTGAATCTGTAATATATATCTCATTTGTTGCTAGAAAAGTTAGAATAGTATCTAAGTGATCAGATGCGATTGATTGCGCACAGAATGCTCATTTGTTAAAGAACACCTAAATGTTATGCCATTTCGTTCTGCTTGAAACATTTTTATAGAAAACTGTCGAAACTGTTCACAATTATACAATCAAAAACTCGTTACTGTACAGTGCCTTACTGTTTTTTCATTACTTTACAAAATAACACAGAAAAATTTGATGAGTGTCGCTTTTTATTTTATAAAGTGTATGAAAAGCATTTCTTGGTTCTGTCACAGTTTGAGTGATCAATGTCGAGTACGCCTGGTACTAGCTTAATTTAGCATTATTTTAGGAATATTTATTCAAAATTCCTGATACGCCAAGTTATAATTTTCATGAGTACCGGAATGGGTAGAGAGAGCAAGAATTGCATTTACAATACAATTGAAAAAGAGCTTAAACTGAAGTCGCAGAATTCACTATGCTAATCATATGGTCAAAGCCCCAATTTCTGAAAAACTTTCCATAATGTCCAATTTATATTTCAAAACCAAAGACTGCTAAAGTCACTCGAAAATGCACAACAAACAGACTGATCGTTGTGAATTTTGGTCCACAATGAAAAAATTCCTTAGCCTAATATTCATAAATATTGTTTTTGTAGTCGATAGGCTATTTGCAGAATTCGATAGACCGCCTAATTCTAACGATTGTAATGAGATTTCAGGATGATATCTGTTGATATGTGCTAATTATTGCTTCTGTTACTTTTAATTTGATCAATTAAATTACTTGAAATTGTCAAATAATGAGAAAAGAGGACATTTCGAAGAAAAGCTTAAAAAATTTTTCTGGAAGAGTCAGCTGAGCTTTCGAATATTCCAATTTGTATTCATTTAGATACTCATATTCTGAATAATACCAGATTTGCATGCGTACAAGCGTTATTGAATATATTTATTAATGCTATCAACACTTTTCTTAGCAAATTCAGTAGAAATTAACTGAATAGTAGCAGCAAAAACTTGTTCGATCGATCTGACCATCAGAAAGTTGAAATTTTTTGAATAAAATTATTATTAACAAAATTAAAATCAGTGAAGCTTAAACGAAACAAAATAGTCTAAGCAAAATAAGCAAAGGATTCTGAAATAAACTGAAGTTAATACGATTCTGAAACAAACTCATGCCAAAATTTCATTACAAATAAAGAGTTTAGAGATGAAATTGTGTTTATGTTAGAATTAATACAAATTCGAACTTAAGATATCAAAAAATCTTCTATTAAGATGTCGATGAAATCAGAAATTAATTTTTAGATAGTAAGGAAAGCGTGACATCACTGAATGTTAAACAACAAAAAGCTTTGACTTCTTATGTTGTTGCAAATTTCTATAAACAAACGAATCGTTTGGAAAATAGTAATTATTGAAATTAATCATTAATTAAATGTCAAAAATAATAATAATAGGATTAATTGACAATGCCATTGCAAGATTGATCAACAAGCTCATCATTATTGCACTCATTAATGAAGAGTTGAATTTAATTTTTTAACAACAAAAGGGTTCGCAAAGGGATTAGGAAGGTGGACTACTTCTGGAAAGCGAATTTTCGGTAATTTGTCACCAGCTGACTTGAATCTGGGAAGTTTTGGCAAAATGGTCGTGTATTTATCGATAATGGGATTGGTAAATAAGCTCATCAGTGGATTTGGCGTGAAGGGATTAGCAAGTTCTATAGGCTTCAGGTTATCCAGTTCTAACGGTGGTTGATCAAATAGATTGATCTGACGCTTATTGACAACTTTGGATTTAAGAGAAAGTGAATTCATAAGTTCTGATTGCTGATCTGCAACCCAAGAAGAGCTTGTAGTAGCTGTAATCTGTGGAGCAGTTTTAGATAGTTCAAAAAAATTTGCGAACGGATCTTTGTTCATAGAAGAACTTGTAGCTGGAGCTTTACTTGAAGTGAGTATAAAGTCCTAAAAGTCAGTAAATTACGGAAATTCATAAAATTTCAATAAAATGATTTATTAATGCTTTGATGATTTAGTGAACTTGAAGATTCTTTTCAATTATGCTGAGAAATATTTAAAAAATGTGCACTAATAAGGTAATAATAACAGACTTAACTGATCAAGTGCTAATGACTGCATCAATCCTTCTAAGAGACGTTGCAGCATTGGCTTTGGCGTACTGCTTGGATCTAGTTTTTCTCGTGGTTTTAACAAATCAAACATTGATCGAGACGGATTGATCAAACTTTCTTGGCTTTCTCTTTCTATCTAAAAAATTCAAGGCAAGGAATAACTTTATAAAACTATATAGATCTCTTGAACTAATTCGGTAGATAATTTAAATGCAGTAAAGACTGAGCTAGTTAGTCCAAGCTTACACGTAAAACTTTTACAAGTAATGCTGAAAACTTGTGATACTAATAAATTAAACAATCATTTAACAAACATTATCAACAAGTTTAAGTGCTTGGGCATTTTGTTCCATAATGTCTACAGCTTTTGCTAAAGGTTTTAACAAGGGATAAATTATTTGATCAGTATCAACTTTGTTCATCCCCTTTGAGTCTGAAATTATACAAATGTGAATGGTACAAAATTTTGAACAATGAGGCACACATTTTTTATTGTTTAATTCTTTTATAGCTTAAATCCAAATACTGCATAAGCAATAGTTTGAGACCTTCTTCAGCAAGCATAAATCATTATTCTAGTGATTATTGATATTCTCATCTAATGAAGTAAATTTTGGATAATTTTTTTTGCTATTTTTTGTCATATAAAAAAATACTTACTCATCTCGTAATCATAATTACAGTCTACTACTATTTCATTATCATGAAACTCCTGAACTTTTATTCAGAGAGTTTCAAGTTTCATTGTAAGATGGACATTTGAGGAGTAAGACGATTTTGTGTGTAAAGAAGAGAAACAAACCAAGATAGACTAACTGTGCATCAGTCAAATTTAAAATTAGCACCAATACGAGCGCTAGTAACAATAATGACTGAGGACGTAGATATTGTAATCGACAGTAGGACATCGTCGTTTTGAGTAATATAAAGATGACCCGAACGAGAGATGTCTCATATTTAGGTCACTTACATTACACAAATAATTCCTTCTTATATTGCACTGCATTCAAAATGACAAGTCTGTTACGTCACAGTGAACAATAGCTTAAGGAAAATACAAACCTTTCATTACATATGAGCAAATATGAACCTTACATCTTTCCCATCCATTAAGTTTGGTCCTCAATACATTATCCGTGAGATCTGTTTCTATTAGCTACTTCAACATTTCCTTTTTTAATTACAATTACTGTAAAACAGTACTAGCAAGCTGCTCGAGCTCTTTATTTGAGTGGCATAATTATGAGAACTTAACAATATGATTAACCATAAATAACTGCGTTCCATGGAATCTGATTTAATTTGGAACTAGAAAAAACCAATAAATAAAGCAATCAATGTCAGGGAACAAAAATTTGAAACAGAAACACATTAATTATGAAATCATAAGACGGGGTGCAATGGACATAGACATCAGTTCCTGGAATAATAGCTTGCAAGCGTATGGAATACGAATTGCTGACACTTGGGTTTTATTACGACACGCCTGAAAATTTCTGCCTATATTTTATAATAAAATTGACTCTGTAGACAAAATCTATCTTTTTTATGCAAACTCCATTACTTCATGAGAACAACTAACAAAAAAAGGAAAAAACTAACGTCATTATGAAAAAATGCATTAATTCATTTGCAATAATCATGAAGTTCTACATACGTTACTTTTTTGTACACAATTCAGGAAAATCAAGCACTGAAGACGCATGATCTTCAGAACTAACTCTCAAAGAAAGACGGGTAATAAATGGTGACACTGATAATCTTTTCCACCACTTACTTTACACTCGAATGAATTTGTCCGCAAATTAGCCACAACGATCAAGCCGCAATTGTTACATATATATACATGATAAGGATCTGACACTTCGAAAAGACGTTCCCGCAAAAACTGTGCCGCTCCATGCGAAATTTGACAATCTCGTTCCATTTCACCGAAGCGCAATCCACCATCCCTTTGAAAACGAGATTTTTTAATTTCCAATTTTAAAAATCGTAACAAAAGTGTCAGAGAAGCAAAGTAACAAAAATACCTAGCTCTGCCTTCCATGGGCTGACGATTCATCATCTGTACAGGTCCACGAGCTCTTGAATGGATTTTATCGTCTACCATATGCTTTAGTCGTTGATAATAAGTAGGACCCAGGAAAACCTACAACAGATAAAATGAATAAGACTGGAGTGTTTCAAGTGCGATTTTTAAAACCATACACTAGAAATATCAGGAGCACAGCATTTCTGAACCATATGCATGACAAAAATCTGAGTAGTTGATTTTAAAACGTTAATATCATTAACTATGAAACACCTGCGTTGTGAGTTTGCGACCAGTATGTCCATTATACATAATCTCATTACCACGTAAATGATAACCATATTCTTGTAACAAGTTGCTGATTTTTTGCACATTAACAGTATCATTGAAAGGTGTAGCATCACCGATTTCCCCCTTGTTTGCTGACAGCTTAAAACTTACTACAAGTATTTTTTTAAAAGTTTAAGAATTTTCAGAATACTCACTTAAATACATTCCTTCCAAATATTGGCTTGCTTCAAGGCAACTCTGCTTCGAGACTTTATTATAATTTTCCATTATTAAGATCAAAATTATCCTAAAATCCCAAAGTAAGCAGATGCCATTAGCGTTGCAAGACAGAAATTTTAATCACTGTAGTTTAAAATCAAAAATGACGTTAGTAATAAAAACATTTTACATACCTTTCCCTGTAAGCATTCGATTAAGTGACCTATAGTCATACGAGATGGTACCGCATGAGGATTGATAATAATATCCGGAGTAATACCTTCATTTGTGAAAGGCATGTCTTCCTAAAGATTTGTGTTATTGAAGATGAAGATTTTCTTGAATCAGTGATTTTACATATATATTTATTAAGAACATAAGAACTGAACATATAGAAATCAAATGTTTGCTAACCTGTCTATACATGATTCCCATTGTACCTTTCTGACCATGCCTTGAGGCAAACTTATCTCCAATTTGTGGTAAACGTACAGAACGTACGCGAATTTTCACAAATTTGTTACCATCCGTGTTCAAAGTCAACATAACCTATACAGGGCCAATAAAATAAAAGTTGCAAAATTTCATTTGTTAACATTTCATTGATAACAAGTTTCCATTTCTCAATATTTTTATTTTTAATGGAAGCATATAATCTTTACTAAAGCAAAAAATACTTGGTCCACAATGCCGGTTTCACTGCTTCGTAAAAATGTACTGGCATCTTTTTTCGTGTACCGTTTGATTGTTGCATCCAAATCATCTTCCTTAATCGTAATGATATTAAAACGAAAAAAAAGGAATATAGAGGCATAATGATTATCTTGAAGTTCAAAATGAAATTAATTAAAAGTTACAGTATCTGGCAAAGATATTGTTTTTCCAATGATGACGTCATCGCCAGAAACACGCATTCCAGGTGAAATAATACCATCTTCATCTAATTTGTCGTAAAGCGAATGTCGCATACCGGAGCACTTATCTCTAAATTTCAGATTTGTGGACTGAGTTTAAAATATATAAACAAAGAAGCACAACTGTAAAGTGAATTTAAGAGGAAAAGGAAAAAGATCTTCACCTTGTAGGTTTTTCGATCAGTTCTTCATTGGCACTATCTAAATTAGCTTCCTGATCACGATAAGAACGATAGAAAACCTAAAACAATCCGCTTTCGAAGATTATTCCGTATAACTGTTGAAAGAGGCTTTACAAAAAAATGGATAAAAAAACAGCATTTCGATAAAACCAACAAAATCCACAAACAAACAAACTGACTGATCTAAATAGACCCCTATCAATGCCCGACTGATTCATAATTATAGAATCTTCTTGATTGTACCCCGTGTACGACAATATAGCTACGATAGCATTGATCCCAGCAGGTAATTCATTGAATCTAAAAAGTATGTACCATAAAGACTCGATTCTATTTCCAATCAAAAACTTTGCAAACCGAAGAGATAAATATTTTACCTTAAGTATTCCATAGATCGTGTCGTAACCAAGGGTTTTTGCGGATAATAAAGTACATGAGCGAGTGTATCCATTCTGACATGAAAATTTGTAGTATAGACACCCATAGCCTGCTTACCCATAGCGCTCTGCAAAACATACCCGTAGTTTTATATCAGCAAAGTTTAAAATCTAAGATGATTCAAAAAGGATACCTGATACGTGTTTCTTGGGCTTTGATTGTGATCAGGAAAAGGTATAATAGATGCACAAACACCCAAAATCATAGCAGGGTGAATTTCACAATGTGTGTAGGTATCACAATAACCTCCAGCTTTCAAATCCTCCGGCATCATAGCAAGCATTATTGTTTCTAAAGAATGAAAAATAATTTTACTCATTTATGTAATCACAAAGAGAAAAAAACGAATTTACCAGTTGTTGAACCCGAATGATAGCCAACGATTTAAAATTAACTTATAAACAGCAAGAGTTTGACTTTTAACAAAAATTTGAAAATTTAGCTTTTAAAAAACCATTATAGAAAAATTATACCTTCTTCCATAGCATCAATAAGTTCAACAACTCCACCAGCAACAAGTTCAGACCAAGTGTAGCTGTTATCTTTTAACTGATCAATATGTTTCCTTTTCAAAGCCAACTTCTGGTTTTCAACAATTAACAAAGGTCGACAAACTCGTCCGGCATCCGTATAAATACGTATTTCTCTGTCTCTGATATCTCGAACCATAGAAACCTCGATTTTCAACGATTATTACATAAGGGAAAAACAGAGGAATCAAGATAGCGTAATAATTCATGTGATTACTCATCTTTGTACATCTTTTTAAGCTTTTATAAGATGAAGATCTCTTACTTCCGAAACTATAATGTCCATCTCCCTTCGAAGTTTTTTCAGAGTACTCATTAACTGTTCGGGGTCTCGATGAATACCGACCCAAGCACCGTTAACAAAAATCTTGGTAGCATCAGCGATTGCTGTTGGTGCCACTTCTGTAATCAACAGTTATATATACAGTACAAAAACACATTCAAAATTTCTTACAAAAAACTACACATGACGCAGGAACTAAATCTTTGATCAAATATTTCACAATGTTATTCGAACTACATAAAAGCTGTAATGACTAACCTTCAAGATTTTCCATCGACCATTCTTCCAAAAATTCAAGAATTGGTTCTGGTAAGCTACCAACAGAAATGTAGGCCATGAGCGCTAGATTTTTTACCAAACCAACCGCTTGACCCTCAGGCGTTTCAGCAGGACATACCATGCCCCACTGGGTATTATGTAATTGACGAGGTTTCGCTAATTTTCCTTCCCTACCAATAGGCGAATTGCAACGACGTAAATGGGACAATGTTGCCGTGTAAGTCAAACGATTCAACACCTAATATAAAATATACGCCTTCAAATGAATAAAAAGAAACGAAACCTATAAAAAGGCGACTGTAGCGATCAAAATTATGATTACTTGAGAGCAAAAAAATAAAAAGCATAAAAAGAAAGATGATTAGATTACCTGACTTACACCTGCTCTTGATTGATGAGCTTTTTTCTGATCCCCCCAGTTACCTGTTGCCAGTGAGTATGCAAGTCCACGAGTTATCAGTGGTGTTTTAACACATAAATCTAACATGAAATCTCCATTCTTATTTATATATTTCTGAGCAGTTAATCGAACCTTAAAATTAAGCAGTGATAAACATGACATTTACAATTACAGTAAGCACATATTTTCTGCAAACTTTTAAATTAAATCAGAAAACGAAGCCCTTCATAGCAATGATTAAAAACGAAGTGTTCGACTAAATTAAGAGGATTTCTCTATAAGCTGAGATAAAATTACTTCTTTAAGAAGGTTTCTAAAAAGCGCTCGAAATAGAAATGCAAGCAGAGGTCCTGCAAGATCTAAACGTTTATTACCCATATGATCACGATCATCTAACTCACGACGACCCAACGCTGCTAGTAGTAATCGATGTACCATATAACCCAAAAAATACTGCAAAGTGTTCCGTTATCTCAATACACTAGAAACTTGTGCAGATTAAATTGCTTTATGAGCTATTCTTTAAGTCTTTGTTACCCGAGAACTGTATTAAGAATAACAAACTACACAAAATGTTGTCAACCATTGCAATCCTTTCTTAGTGAAAGGAAGAAAAACCTTCCGACTGCCAATGATTTAAATTCTACTAACTGCTTTTTTGGTTTCGCAAAAATCTGATATGCCAACATGCGGAAGCATTTCTTTCTGTAGTATTTCTTTAGCATATTTTATACGCTGTTCTTTAGTAACACCTGGCTTGGCACCACGTGCACCAATAAAGTTGAGTGCAACATTTTGTTCCTAAAAAACTTACAACCAAAAAGCCATTTAAAAACTACATTTAAAACTATAAATGCAAAAACTTTGTAGAGAATAATTTATCAAAGCAAAAACATGCTTCGAATTTTTCTCTTTGTTTTTATTTATCCAAGTTTGCAATATGTGGCTTTACTTATTTAGATTCATCAGTGACACGCATGATTTCGAAATATTTAGATGTCCATGATGTTCTGATCTTAATTAAAACAACAATACGCTCTAAAAGACAAAAACATACATGAAACTGATGCAATATAAAAACAAACTTGAATAACAAAAGCTTCGTCCAGACTTGGTTTTACCATTTCCATCATCTCTGGATCTTCGAAATCATATATTATATGTTCCAATATATCATGATCAGAAACAAAACCTAATGCACGGAAAACAATCATCACAGGGATTTCCTAAAATGAAAAATTAGTCACTGTAAATTATAATTTCGGTAGTAAAACTCATACTTCTTCAAAAGTTAAATCATAACGCTATTGAAATGACAGAAACCTGTTTAATATACGGCAAAATAGCAATGATTTTGGGACCCATTGCAGATTTTTTGCTGCCTCCACCACCTCGCGGTAACATATTCACCCATAATGTGGATGTTGGTCGGCTGAAAACTTCTTACATTTCATTGAATAATTAAAGTTTCAGCATCCAACACTACATAATAATAAGACTTTTTCTCCACACAATATATTTACTTATTACACTTACTTAGACAGAGAAACGAGTAAATGATACCAAAATGTAAATTATTTAAATAAAAACCTGGAATTTTCCAAACAAGAACGACATTCTGTTTTATATGTGTATTTTCCATCCTTCATTGAGAAAACATAAACAGTATTTGTGGCCATTTTTTCCTGAGCAATCAAGACCTGAAACACATTCTCTACAAAACTGCAGTTCTAAAGATCATTAACGATCACGAATACGTAATTTGAAGAGTTTAAATAGAACTACCTTTTCCGAACCGTTTATTACAAAATAGCCGCCAGGGTCCAAAGGACATTCATTTAGTTCAGATAAATCGCGATCAGACATATTTGCTAGCATGCAATATGACGACCTAAAATAAGAGCATGAGAGTTATACAGGATATAGCTACACAGTATGGATGTAATATTCCGATTTCTATGATTTTCACTTACTATTCCAAAAGTTTTTCATTTTTAGCCCTACTCTTTTAAGCACAAGAAAGATAAGATCCAGAAAAGAGCTCTTGCATACCTCAACATTATGGGAATTTTTCCCACGAACACTTTTTCATATTTTGTCTCTCTAGGCTCTTCCCCATCTCGATACATTGTTTTTGTTATATCAATATAAAGGGGCGAAGAGTACGTTAAATTTCGCAGTCGAGCCTTGAATTTATTTTTATTAACTTCACTGTGATTAATGCTTACAGCTTTTTACGTAAAACATTTCTTTTACGAAAAGTATGCAAACTTTTCAACTCCCATTATCTATTAACTCTTGAATATGGCCAAAAAACAGCAATCGAATGAATCATTCTACTCAGAAAGCGAGTCAAGATTCCCAAACAAATGTGAGAAGATACTTCATTTGGCATCATAGGAGTTGGAGCACCATCCTTTTCCCAGTGAGTTGGCTTTGACAAGTATATCTGATCGAATTTCAATGCAAATTTAATAGGGCTTTCGATGTCTCCTAAATAATCAATCGGGATATTAATGATGAAAAAAAGGGAGAAAAAAATTGTAAACAGATGAAAATCAAAATGCTTTACCAGAAAAATGCTGAATTTCAGATTGCAATTCAACCGGTGGAGAATCCTCAACAATTCGCTGAACATTCATTTGAATAAATTCATCGAAACTATCCAACTGCTGTCGAACGAGACCCTTCTCATCAAAGTATGCCGAAATTACTACCCAACACGCCTCCTGAATGCATTGAGCATATGAAGTCTAATTTATCACACCTTAAATAATTACAGTGACATAATGAAGGATAGATACCTGCCACTGCTCTGATGAGATCTCATCGTCCTCCTCTTCAAAATTAGTCTCATCCATATCTTCATCTTCTTCATACATTTTTATATCTCAGAGTTGTCAATAATTAACACAGAATTACTGCAAAAGTAAGGACTGTGTGATATATTAGAACACCACAATTTAAAAATGATCTTTCCTAGCTCAAAAGGAAATCCTGGCAATATCTCTTCAGCAATAATCACTTATGTTATCGCTTGAGAAGTTCTTTTACAATTCAAACTCGGCCAGCCATAGCCAATGCAAAAGGCGGCTTTCGGGCCACTAAAATTTAGTATTAGCAAAAATAATTCCTTGTAATAAACCTGGAAATCTTTATTTATCTGCTCATTCCTCTTAACGGGTTCTGGCATATCTGCGCGAAATCCTAAAATAAGGTATTGTTTGTACTACGAATGTTCTTGATTATGTATCTGATCTTTATAAGCTGCACTATGGATAATACTCGCAATGACAAATACGGTGTGAAGTGTGCTTGGCTTGTATCATTTCTTTTTCAGTTTGTGCTGATTCACTTTGATTCAAAAATTTACACCGTAAATTAGTCTTGATTAGTTCAGGTCCCATTTGTACGTGTTCACATTAGTCATATCCACATGACTTTTACTCGTGACTCATATCAGTCCACATCCTGCTTACGTGTTAAATTTCCAGTGATTAATTCGCTTTTGAATTAATCACTGTGCAGGCAGAGAAGACTTAAATTAAGCTGCCACCAGAGTATGTTTGACTTGTAAATTTTATCACTGTTACGTCACTTTGCATTATTATTGTTCAGTTTGTTTTTCACTGTGGTACCTATTTGAGGGCTAGTAATCTGTCTTAGCATCTCCCTGCATTTTCCATGAACTGATTCTTACTTAAGTCAACTACATACATTTCTGAAATACTTTAAACTCAAGAAGATGCCTAAGAGGAAGAGCTTTGCTCTATATGGTCAAGTTTAGGATAAACAAGTTGGATTTGTAGACTAACATAAAATCTTACTTTAACAAATAATGAATATTGTTTCAAGAAGTTTTTGCAAGAATTGCACAAACATTAACATATATGCGCAGTGAATCAGCTGTATAATGTAACGATCTAATGCTGAACTATTTCTTTGCAGAAGTGGCATGTTGGAGCGCGAACAGCAGCAGAAGTCTAAAGGTAACAGTGGAAACAGCAACAACAATCACAGTAACGTCTCAATGGAGAGGAATCAGCCAACTGTCCCAGCAAGTAATCAGCAACAACAACAGCAAACGTTTCTTCTTCCTCCTCAGACACAACAGCAACAGCAACAACAACAGCAACAACCTCTGCCTTCAGTTGGTCATGTCATTGCAGGACAACAGCATCGTTCAACTGAGATACAGAATAGCAATATGTGTAGTAGTAGTAGTTGTAGTAGCGGCAGTAGTGGCAGCAGCAACCAAGTGTTAAGTGTACATTCATCTTCCAAAATTTCACCTTGTACAACGGCACAGGCTCATTCATCCAAATCTGTATCAGCAAATTCACTGCATGCCAACAATAGTAGTGGTAGTGTACGACCTGGTGCTGCATCTTCTTGTCCACCGCTTACTTTGTCTAATTCGTCTTCTACTCGAGGAGGACTACCACCTTCATCCATGCAGATTGCTTCCTCTTCTTCCAGTGCGGTATCCGCTGCTTCAAGTACGCCTCAGCATTTTCAGCGGCACCATTCCGTGACATTTACTGTGGAGCACCACCAGCGGGCTGCATTTACTTTTGATACCGAATTTGAGAACATGCAACAGCAACAAGCCATTATTACGGATGCTTCATCCCACGTGCTGCATCATCCTGTCCACACGCGTCAGCAGCATCTGCTGCAATCCCCTTCTCGTGTACTGCACCAACAACCTGCTCAACAGCAACAACAAGCTCAAGCTCTACAGCAGAATTCTCAGCAATCTCAAATGCTTCAACAGCAAAATCAAGTCATGCAACCTCAGTTATTGCAGCAGCATTCTCAAGGGTTGCAACTACCACATAACCAAGGACTACAACAGCAACAACCTCAGATACAACAACAACAGCAGCAGCATTCTCAGAGCCTGCAACAGCAACAGTCACAGATACAGCAGCATCCTCAGGGGCTACATCAACAACAGCAGCAGCATGCTCAAGGACAACAACAGCAACAATCTCAAGTACAACAGCAACAACATTCTCAGGGATTACAACAGCAGCAACATGTTCAAGGACCACAGCAGCAGCAACCTCAGGTACAACAAGAACAACAACAGCATCCTCAGACGCTACAACATCAACAACAGTCGCAACATACTCAAGGGCCGCAGCAACAGCAACCTCAAGTACAACAGCAGCAGCATCCTCGGGGAACACAACATCAGCAGCAGCATGCTCAGGGTTTACAGCAACTTCAGTCTCAAATGTTGCAGCAACAACAGCTTCAAATGCAGCAGCAACACCGGCAGCAGTCTCATTTGTTAGCGCAAACGCACCAAACTGCTCCTTTACAACAATCAAATCAAAAACAGCAACTTCATGTACAGCAAGTGCATCGACAGCAAAGCTTTTCACATTCTCAACAAAAGCAGCATTTGCAAATACAGCAAATCCAACAGCAGCAATTGCAATTACAAATTCATCCGAATTCTTCCCATTTTAGTCAACAGAAAGCAATTTTAAAACATCAGGCACAGACACATCCCGCGCAATACCAATATGATGATGACGATAACGATAACGATGATGAAGATGATGACGATGATGAAGCACAGCACCAGCGGTCGTTAACTGCTAAGGAAGAATATAGAGAGTTGAAACAACGATTCAAATTTCTTGTCTATGTAGGTTTATTCAAGAGTGTATTGCTTTTTTTTTAAAGTATTGGTGTAAAAATGACAAGTTCCTTAAAATCTTAGCACTTCAATGTAATTTGTGAAAAACTATAGTTACTGCGTGGATTCAATGATTTCAGCTACAGGAAATTATTTTCACCCTTAGTTTTAGTACATTATGTACTGGTGACTGCTTACAATTGCTTTCAAGGAGAACGAATGTTATCAAGAAGAATTACGGAACTTACAAAGAAAACTGTTAAAACTTTCTCGAGACAAAAATTTTTTACTGGATCGTTTACTATTATACGAAAAATTAAGTGACTCATCTGATGAATCAGACTCATCTGTCAAAACAATTGAGGAGAAATCGCCACCTAAAAAGTAAATATTTCTTTCTGCTTTATTAATTGTGATATACAATTGTTATCTAAGGGATCAGAAGTGTATGCAATAAACTAAGCACTTTGTTTAATTTTTAAATAGAGCAGTTGGTTGTCAAATTTTAAAGTTTAGTAAAATATAAAGTATTTTAATTTTTTTTTCTTGGTTTCAGGAAGTCTCGCCCTTCAACAAGGCGTCGTCCAACATATTCAAGGCCCAAAGCTGGAAACGCAGTTAATACTGCGGCGGATTCAGATCCATCCAAGATTTCTACACTCGAACAGCAGCAAATGCATAAGCAACTTTTGGAAATACATCGGCAGTCAGGACAGAC